GCTGGTGGGGGAGGGGATTTCCCACTGACTTCCCAAGGGTTTGCCATTAAAATGTAATAAATTTTAATTTGGTGCAATTGATGGCATCATTTAAACTCAACCAGAACATTCTTACTGCAAAAAGAAGGATACTTTCTCTCTCTTGTATGATGAGTTGGTTTTGTTGCTCTAGATGTTGGATTTTTTTCTCAAACGTCTCCTGTTCATCCCTGAGTTTCTGTACAGATTCCTCTTTTTCTTCACTAACTCTGAAAAGAAACACAAACAAAACAGATCAGATACACAGCTGTATCACTATGCACAGAAAATCACATTGGCTTGAAGGCTACTGTAATCATTCATTCAGTCTAAAAAGTATCAGATCACTATCTCCCGCTTCCCGCAGCGCAGGCACCTCTGTTGGCTGCCGGCCAATCAGAGCTCATTCCGAGGGCCTACATCAGGAGAAAAGAAAGCTGCAGGCATGGTGTGTCTCCACCCCCTGTCCAAAAATACACAAAATCAGAGTTTGCATTCGATATTTCAGACAGCCGCTGTCAACATGATTCACTCCCCTGTCAGCTGGTGCAGAAATAAAATAATGAAATCCACCTCGAGGTACAACAAAATTGTGCCGAGGAGAATATTTTACGGGGCTTCTCGGCCGGATGGTCTGCATGTGTAGGTTGAGATGTAAATCAATAGGAGGACAGTTCACACAACCGCACTCTTCGATTTAAATAACAGCGAAAATTACTCACCAAGCCACTGATGATTTGATTATTTATATATCGTGAGACTTCATTTGCTGCGAGCATGTGGTTTATTACTTCCAATTATTAGTGTCTACAAAACTAATTGGTCATAAAAAATATGCGAGCAGTGAGTTTGTGATTAAGTGGAATTTCTGTGAGAGTTTAAACCCCACCTAAGATCATCCCACTGGGATGCATGGACTCGGAACTAGTCAAACAAACTATTACAAAAGGACTTGTGCTCCTCTGATCCATCCGCAACATTCGGAAAAGTGACCACGCAAACTTCAATAAGATTAATGATATTGATGAATGCATTCAACTTCTCCTTTGTGTCTTCCATGCGTCTTGATGTAAATTCCTCGTGAAGAACAAAGATTGTGAGTTTCTCTGTAATAGAATCTACCGCTCAGAGACGTGGTGTAGAATGCCAAAGACAGGCTTGAGAAAATTCTAATTTCATTCCGTACACGAGCTTCAAATTCTTCCTACGCACAGAATGTAACTTATAATTTTTTTCCCCCTCCTACGGAGATATTTCCTCTTGATAATCGCAATCCTGGCAGATGAGATGGAGACGATGCGTGCAATTATTCTACACAGACCCTCATAACTCAGTTTGTCTTTTTCCGTCCCCCTTAACCTTTAAGAACAGCTCCATGGGCCAGCATCTCTCTGATACCTTTAGAGACCATCCTGTCTCCGCAGGGGGCTGACTCATCTTTTTCTTCACTAACTCTGAAAAGAAACACAAACAAAACAGATCAGATACACAGCTGTATCACTATGCACAGAAAATCACATTGGCTTGAATTAATCGTGCAGCCCTAATTCAGTCTAAAAAGTATCAGATCACTATAATGAGAGGACTTTACCTGGCCAGCTCCTGGATGAGATTTGCAATCCGACGCTTGTCCTCTGGGCAGAGATCCTTCAATGATGGCTTACTTCTGGCTTGAGCAGTGCTGAAGAGAGTCTACAGTCCAAAACAGACACTTTTAAATTTTATTTCCACACATCTATAGAACACAAATTTCTGTACAACTCAAATGAACAAACCTGGTTAGATTCTTAGTACATCCTAAAAAATAACCTTGTGAATTTATGACTGCCAAAGAGAATTAGATTTGCATTTTCTGAAGGAAATATTAGTTCATGCAAGGTGATGTTTGACAAAGACATAATTATGCAAATATTAACAGTTTTGCAGAGTATGTGCAAAACAACACATAGTCGAAATTGATTAGTTGACCAATCTGTCTTATTGAAGCTCTGAATTATTAAGCTGGTTTCAGGTTCACAATGCCCTGATTGGATGTATTTCTTAAGGGGACATTTACAAAAACATGGGTGTCAACTTTTAACCTGACATGTCATTCTAAAAAAATGCAATACTCATGGCACAAAACACTAAAAAAAAGATTAGATTCCCAAAGATTAGTATGCACAAAATGTCTAAAATCTAAAGAAAAGCAAACTGAAACCATCCTAATTAAAAGCACTGTCACTGAAATCATGGAGAAAACAAAAATCGGAAGATAATCATTGTGATGAATAATATATTCATAATATAGTACCAGTCAATAATTCAGACACACTTGCATGTTTCTCAGGAGCTCAAAAAACTTTTGATCTAAGCCTGCCAGACATAAAATGCAGACAAATATAGCAAACAGAATATGAATTGAATTCCTACATTTATTTTAATTTACTATTTTTAAGTGGATGCTGGAGTGGATATTAAAGAAAAGTGTCCAACATACATTCAATTATAGGTCACATAAAAGATATTTCTGAATTTATTAAACATATTTTGGTCACTACTCACTACATAATTTTCATACTTCCATTTGGCATCATAGTTTCATAAAGTTGATAAATGTATTATTTAACATGTGAAAATTAGCAATAATAAAGAATTAACTTTTGACTGTAGTGTATGGCTGCACGATAAATGGGGGCTTTCATAGAGTTTGTCTTGCACTACAATCTCTTTTTAATGGAGTTTTGAATTTTAGTGGAAATGCCAGGCCGTGGAGCCAAAGTGCATTTAATTGAGTTTAGCCCGCCTAATTTCTGAGCTCGCCTGCCAAATCTGCAATTTAGCAGTCTTCTAAATTTTGTCTTTAGATCAAGTCTTCTTGAATATTGCTCTTCATATTTCACAGTGTTGGGTGAAACTGATGGTTCGCCATGTCTTTTGACCAGAGCAAGATAACCAAAGCTGGCAGAACCTCAAGGAAAAAAGGGAGCATCCGAACTGTGCGAAGTTTGTGATGTGCCAGCCGGATGACAGGTTGGCACGAGAAGTAACCCACGCCGATCCCAGTGGTCATGTGATTGGTGCCAGCTCTTTCAATTTCAAATGAAAATTAAAAGCAGTTCAACCCAAACCAAGGACGGGTCTGATCCCTGAGCTCAAAACCTGGCATCTAAAAGAGTAAATATTAAACGTAACACAATGTGAATGCTCTTTGTCGTTTGTCTGTTTCACACATTTCACACAATCTTGCTGCAAATAAAGCCTACTTCATCTTCAATGAAAAGATTCAATATTAGTGTCATCCAATATGACACATAACGCCAAAGAAAGTGAATCCTCACCCCTTCAAGTGCAAGTGTAATTCGAAAAGCATCTCAATTACGTCCTGTGGTTATATTGCTCCTATAACAGTCACGACTAGGCTGAACACAGATCCACTGCTTAGACAACACTGCCCCCTGTCAGTCTAATATACACAACAGTCTGAGTCAACGTATTGTGAATTGCACTACCATTCAGATATTTGGCATCAGTAATTTTTTATTAAAGGAATTAATACTTCTATCCAGCGAGGATGGATTAAATTGATCAAAAGTGACAGCAAAGCCATTTATAACAGATTTCTATTTCAAATAAATGTTGTTCTTTTGAATTTTCTATTGATCAAAACATCCTGAAAAAATGTATCACGGTTTTCACAAAAATGTTAAGCAGCACAAATGTTTTCAACACTGCAAATAATATGAAATATTTCTCAAGCAACAAATCAGTATAATTATGTAAGTATGATTTCTGAAGGATCATGTGATTGGAGTAATGGCTGATTAAAATTCAGCTTTGCTATCAAATGAATAAATTACATTTAAAAAAAAATATTAAAATAGAAAATGGCTATTTTAAATTCTAATAACGTTTCACAATATTACTGTTTTTACTGTATTTTTAATCAAATAAATGCAGCCTTGGTGAGCATAAGAGGCTTCTTTCGAAAAAATATTAGATACCAAACTTTCGAACAGTAATGCATTAATCAAATAATTTGAAAAGTTCACATAATGAATAAGTTATGTACGATTCTGAATTAACATCTCCAGGAAGGATAACAGCTAATATATGTTTAATATATAAATAATTACTGCCATTAACAGAAAAAAAATGGGGTGGGGGGGGGTGGGGGGGATTTCCCACTGACTTCCCAAGGGTTTGCCATTAAAATGTAATAAATTTTAATTTGGTGCAATTGATGGCATCATTTAAACTCAACCAGAACATTCTTACTGCAAAAAGAAGGATACTTTCTCTCTCTTGTATGATGAGTTGGTTTTGTTGCTCTAGATGTTGGATTTTTTTCTCAAACGTCTCCTGTTCATCCCTGAGTTTCTGTACAGATTCCTCTTTTTCTTCACTAACTCTGAAAAGAAACACAAACAAAACAGATCAGATACGCAGCTGTATCACTATGCACAGAAAATCACATTGGCTTGAAGGCTACTGTAATCATTCATTCAGTCTAAAAAGTATCAGATCACTATAATGAGAAGGCTTTACCTGGCCAGCTCCTGGATGAGATTGGCAATCCGACGCTTGTCCTCTGGGCAGAGATCCTTCAATGATGGCTTACTTTTGGCTTGCACGATAAATCGCATGCGATATTTAACGCGCATCTTATCAGTAAAGCCGGTTCTGTAATCAGCGGTAATTGGCTTTCTGACAAGATGCGCGTTAAATATCGCATGCGATTTATCGTGCAGCCCTACTGTAGTGTATGTTAAATGATTAGAGTTGAATTAATTACAGACACAAGGATGCAAATTAATTAGGGGTATAAAAAAGGTGACAAAGATGCAACCACTGTAGAGAGGAAGATTTGTTTTTAAATGTCAGCTTTAAAATGTGAATTTTCATTCCATTTAGCATGAAGATTTAAAAAGTATCTCTCTCTACTTCAGCTGTCAGGCCACATTCACACGGTTGTTTTTATGGAACCCATTCAATATGACCATAGAATAATGATAATGATGATAAAAAAAATAATAGTAATAATTAGAAAATGAAAAAAAAAAAAATGGAAAATCACTGTTGACAACAGATTTATAAATAATTCTCATTACAAACTTGGAAAGCTTGTTGGTGGATCACGCAGATTCAAAACGGCGATAATCAGCAAAAAGTGGCAGGTTTGCATCCCTGCAGACAATTGAGGCACTTCACCTCACATACACTGTAAATATTCATTTTTCAACGCTCACCTGAGCTGAAGTGAGAGGAGGCAGGTCTGGTTCTGGTGCAGGTGTAGTGATCTTGGATTTGGCTACAACAGAAGGCAGCTTCTGATCTGAAGCTTTACCCACCACCATCTCAGCACTTTGCATTGCCGAATACAATCCAGTTTTTTTCCTACTTTTATCCATGCCGCTAGCTCTCATTTTTATCTTTCCCTCTGTATTATTTGCAGACCCAACCTTCAGAACAGCATTCTTGCTCATCCCTAAGAGAGAATGGGAGTGACAGTTTTCAAATATCAAACACGAGTTGTCAGAATGATGAACAAGTAATGATATTTTAGTATTTGACAGTATCAGTCCAAAACATTAAAACTGACATAAATCCAAGACTCACCTGTAACAAAAACCATGGGCTGCTGCTCTTCATCTGATTCTATGCAAGTTAAAGAAAACACAGCAGAAACAGCAGTCTACCATCACAGAGTCTATCAGCTAACAGTCTACACATATTAAAGAGAATAAGACTGCAGCATTAATACAGTAGTACTCCAATCAACGTGGTAAAATGCAGTTATGTGATGCTGCTGTAATGCATTGTAGTGTAGCATATTGTTCTACATTTCAGAGATGTATACTTGTAACTTACGTTACAAAGCGGTTACAATTCACTGCAGTCTGTTTCTTTCTAATAACATAAATCAAATTCAGTATAGTAAATGTATAGACACGACAACTGCAGCTTTATGTACTAAAAGTTTTAGTACATAAAGCTGCAGTTGTCATGTTTTAGATTTTAGTCTAAAACTAGAGTTCGGTTAAACTGTCAATGAAAATCCGCTAATAAATTATTAGCCTCCCTTCTCTCATAAACACTGACCACGGACCACGGTTGACCTTTATGCTTGCTAAATTATAATAATATAACTCATTTAAACTGACTCATCGAACAAACATACGAAAAAAATGTTAGGATACTGTCATGAATCCAGTAAAATCCATCGCCATTTGCGCCCTCAGCAACAGACGCCATACTGAAACAACCGCCACTTCCAGATTACGCGCGAGAGCTCCTCCTCTTTTTCATCTCTGGTTAGTGTGACTGGATAACATTCACATGCTGCACCCGCCTATCTAGGATACTATTGGTCAAATCATTTATCTGTAATTTTCTCAGCCAATAGGAGCGGAGAACCACAGTGTTTTGGCTCCGCGTGCTTGATAACCTCAGCATCCGTCGGTGTGTCTATGCAGCAAGCGAATCAATGACATTGAAGTATATAGATTAGATGGTTTTTGTGTTATTTTGGAATGGAGGAGGTAAAAGATGACAAGACATACAAGGGGTTTGTAGATAGACTCACCCTCGGTATTACTCGGGGTTTGGGTGAGGGGACAATGTTTAATATAAATAATGATAAAACAGCATCACAATAGGTTGCATGGTCTCCCGGTGTTGTCCCGAATTCTGCACCCCTGCCAGATTATGCACCCCCTCATTGAAGTCGCTAATTGATTGCCTAATCCCAACCCCACCCCTAATCCTAACCCCTCCCCCACACCTACTCCTAAACCTACCAATACTAGGGGGTGCATAATCTGGCAGGCTGCAAATTTCGGCACTACACCTGGTTGGATCCTACCCCCCCCCCCACACCTACTCCTAAACCTACCAATACTAGGGGGTGCATAATCTGGCAGGCTGCAAATTTCGGCACTACACCTGGTTGGTTTGGTTTTAGGTACGTTTTAGGTGGTCAGGATGGGAGGCCAGCTGATGACCAGCTTGGCCAGACTGGGAGACCATCTAAAACCAACAAAGCAGTTTAGGGTGGATTAATATGAAATAATGATCTTTAAAAAAGCATCATATGACCCCTTTAATTAGGGTTGCTGTTTTAGCACTAATGCAAACCAGGTCAATTACCGTTAGGCTAGAGATTCATTTCTTATTTAATGATTGATTAAATGCTTATAAATATATGTGCATTGCATTCATGTGTTTGGCAGAGAACCTCCCGGGTGTGCTGGTTGTACAATTTGTAGAGAAACCCCCTGCAGAAAAGCGATGCCTTCTGTCTTGGGAGCAAGTATGGAGTTATTTCAGTGGAACAGAGAATATTCTCAAAGCAGAGCTTTAATGTGGGTATGTTTACATCAGGTGTGTTTTTCCTGTGTTTTCCAGAAAAACAACTGCGCTTTGCCAGAAGATCTAAGAGATTTCTATGGAACACCAAGCTGGAAAGTGAGCACCCTGAAACATGCCTTAAACCCATTATAGTTTGGATCAACTGTAACGATGCCTTAAATGTGCCCCTGTTATGCTGCTTTTTCAAATCTGATCAGTGTTGATTCAATGTTGTGGTTAAGCTTTATTTCTAAAAATGCTGTAATGCATGCTTTATTTTTTAGGTGAATTTCTATGCTTTGTGTCTAACAGATGAAGTGGTTCCAGTGGGTTGCATGATGATCAGCAGTGTTGCTCAGTTACGCCCCCTGATTCAGTCGAATGCATATTCTCTCCCCAATGCACCTACTTTAGCTGATCTTGACTTCGATGATGACTTAGAGGGTGAGATTTTAGGTGAGATTTTGGAGATGCATTTTGGTTCAGTAAAATATTTTTTTTTAAATCTAAAAAAAGATCTTTGTTTGGAACTATTTTCGTTAGCAAAATTGAGCAAAAACAAGCAATATTATGTCTAAAATGTAAGTCACTTATTGCTTTACTGAACTTGTATAAAATGATTATTAAATATGTTCATGCTGATATCTGCAGAAAAACGGTACTCTTTGTGTGATATAAATTAAGTTAACTAACGTATATTAAATTATATACATATAAAAAGCATACAGAAGCATTTTTGCAGTCTACAATTTAGAATGCCTGGAATTTTGAGTTTTAATAGACTAATAAATCAGCGTGCGTGCACTCTGTGTGTGTGATTTGGTCATATAGCTTACTTGATAATGTCAGATCGCACATCATTACAACAACACTTACCACTGTATCGCACACCCCAAACTCAATTTGAGTAAAAATTGAGTAAAACATACTGCATGATTATTTGTCATTATGGAAAATGGCAATTGAAGTGACCTCTGGTGTTTGGGGTCAAGAGGGTCTCACCTGACACTTTTCCACCAACGTGCACAGCACTCCCAGCCCAAAGCCTACATTTATGCTGAAATAATCTCCAAAAAACCATTTCCTGTGACCACCTGTGCAACAGAGCCAAGGCCAAACACCTGGAATTCAAACACAGTTTGTCAGAGAAACTACATAATTCATAGATGATGTGCAGCCATTACATGAAAATAAACCCTGGTGCAAAGCTTATTTCATACTTATGAAATAAATAAATACATGGACATTAAGTAGACTACTGATTTTATTTTGCATTTAGGGGCTGCAATGACACAGAAACAGGGTTAGTATCATTAACTAAAAACATTTTTGTTGAAATAAAGCTAAAAATTAAAATAAGTTTTAGTATTTGACGTTTTTAACCCCTTCAGGTGTGGAGAAAAGTATTTCTTCCCCTAATTGTGAAACTACTGGAAAACGTGTTTGGAAAAAAAAATAAACATGTTTTTGCATTTCCTTTTACTACTGGCACAGAAATTACTCACTTCATCTTCATATAGTTTGGAACAACTTGAGGGTAAGTAAATTATGACAACATTTTCATTTTGGGGGGAATTATGCATTTAAGGATCAAAAATACACTATTGTAAGTGTCTGTTTATGTCTGTGCCAGGACTAGAACCTGCTGTGGAGAAAAGCAACAATGATATCAGCTTCATATCTTTGCTTTGTTTATTTCATTCAGGGAAATCGGAAGTTTCTACATTGTGTGAAAGGGGAGAAATACTTTTCTCCACAGCTTCCTGAACATCCTTGACCTGCAGCATATCCATAGAGCGGTTCATGGAGTAATATGTGTCCATATAATATTCCAAGGGATGTCCCGTATAAGCCCGTTTTATCCTTTTTTCCTAGGAATTGCTATGCTGTTTGCTCAGACGAATGCTGAACACAGCAGAAAATGAAATCTGAGGTACAACAAATCACCTCAGGCAACTTGACCTCATGATTTCCCTGACAAACTGTATGTTGAAAGACTGCACTAGTTCACAATCAGATTGCTTCTTTACACAATTGTATCACATTCTGCCAAATAGTTTTGAAAGAAGAGTTTGCTTTTGCAAAATATGTGTGACGTTTAGCATGTTGTGTGTGTGTTTTCTGGTTTTGTGTGTAGAGTTTTGAGAAATGGAGGCATAGTTTCAAAAACTGTAAGCATTTTTAAAAAACTGTAACACTACATTATTATGCATTATACAGAGGAAGAGTAAGAGGAAAATAAAATGCCATCGAAACTTTTACGTTCTCTTCAGAGATTGTAGAGTTTTGAGAAATGGAGGCATAGTTTCAAAAACTGTAAGCATTTTTAAAAAACTGTAACGCTACATTATTATGCATTAATAAGAGGAAAATAAAATGCCATCGAAACTTTTAAGTTCTCTTCAGAGATACATTCATATAACCCCACACCCGCAGAGAAGTCAGTGTTTACTATCAGTGAATGACGGGAATAGATAGTCTTGAGTGTCTTGAGTTATGCGTTTACAGTCTTTGCCCTGTGCGCACGCATAGGGCGCAGTCGTGCCAGGGTCACTCGGATTATGCTCGGCACAGCGTCTCTTTTAAATAAACCGAGGATTTTAACAGAGGCACGCAGACTTGATTATGAACTGGCAGTGGAGTGACATATATTCCCATCCATTATGGACGGTTTCAGCGGCGATCCTGGCCATAATTGTACGCGCGCAGCGGAAAGCATCGTGGAACCCGCGCGCTTGTCCCGTTAAATTAAAAGGGAAAACTGCGATTGTGACTGGAGCTAACACGGGTGAGAATCAAACTTTTACCATTAAAAATGAAAATGAATTATATTTTAATGTATGGTGGTGAGCACACAAACGCCTACCTGAGTAGAAGAATTGCGGAAGACCCTTTTACGCAGAAGACGAATGACACAGAGTATCCATGAAACTACAAATATTGTGACGGAAAAAATTCAAGTCATGTTTCTTGCATATAAAACCTAAACTTGTTTGTTTTCATTTTTATGCAGAGTTGTGGAACAGCTGTCTTGCTAAAACTTGTTAAACTAGCTGCAGGCTCGTGCCAATCTGTTCCAGATGCTTCACATTTCTTGCGTTTGGAGTGACTGGTTTAGGTCATGGTGTTCAAAAACTCAGTGGTTGAATGTTTAGGTAATTTGGCTCAGATGATTCCTGGGAGAATTTTTAAAAGTTCAAATAGAGAAACAGAATAGAGAATATATAAATATAATGAAACCAATATAAATGAGCATACAATTATTATAAAATGATTCTGTATAGAATTGCTCAAATAATATACAGTCTTGGAGAAATTCAGTGAAGGTTATATTGACATCTCTTTTGTTATTGTGATTTTTCTTTCCTGTGGACTGTGGTAGGAGCTTAATTTAAGTTTGATATGATGATGATAAAAGATACGATATATTTTTATATCTTAAACAGTTTTGACATGTGCTATTGTGTTGCATAAAGTCATACATAATTCTGTTAAATCATAATTACTCACTTTCTTATTCCCGAATACTACTGTGTCATTCACCTTTTGTTGTTATATTTTAGGTATTGGGAAGTTCATTGCCCTGGACTTTGCTCGTCGTGGGGTGCGGGTGATCCTGGCGTGCCGGAGTGAGGCTCGTGGGACTGCAGCGCTACAAGAAATCAGAGAAAGTACTGGGAACCAGAACGTACATCTGCGTCGCTCGACTCTGTGCGGAAGTTTGCAGCACGGATCTTGGAGGAAGAGAAGGAATTACATATCCTGGTCAATAACGCAGGGGCCTCAGGTGGAATGCTCATCTCTCTCTCTCTCTCTCTCTCTCTCTCTCTCTCTCTCTCTCTCTCTCTCTCTC